TCTAAGTTAAGATTTTTAGTAAACAAACACACAATCTACATATACGTCTAAAATGTCGAATTAAATGTCGTGGGTAACAGCATAAATTTATAAAGATGAAGAATAGGTTCACAAAGAACAAATTTGGATGCCCCAAATAACTATCCCACGCAGACTAAGTCGCTAACGCAGCTAGTAATAGATCCCTGTGGAATCTGTGTCAACAACTACACTCTATAAAAGGTGGTTTGACATCGGCCATATTTGTTGGGTTCTTTTCTAAAGAAAAAAAAAATCTTGTAATGACTTGACAAATGTGACGCTGTCCTATTACAAGAATTTAAAATAAGGGATGTTTAAGAATCCTAATCTCAAATGGTTATTTCGGAACAGATAAATCAAATTGATGCAACGTCGTTGAACTATTTCTATTTTTAATTTAAACAGTAAGTTAAAAATTAAAACAGCCGAGTTAACTTTATACGCAAAAAGGGCTTAAAATATTCAGAACCGGGATGTTGGTAGAGCCGAAGCGGCACAATATTAGCCAACTGAGCACCCTTTTAAGGCGATTTCTCTAATTTCCTCTCTTTTGAATCTCATTAAGTTTTATAGAGTACATGTAATTAACATTTTTGAATATATTAATAGTATAAGCAGCTTAGGCCTCGGTTACTATGAAGTCATTTTTTAACATAGGACAACCAGACAGGAAAGGATTTCACTTTCAAGTGAAGTAGGTACCCTAGAACATCAAAAAAATATGCGCTATAAAAAATACATTTTATTTTTTCTCCATTAGAAGACCGAATTTTCGACAGTCTTACATACACACTTAAAAAACATTATAAATGTTAGCTCCAACACTCTGCATCAAACTCATGGCCTATTGGTTCTTAGCAATACGTCGCTACCATGAAACAAACACGCAAATGAAAATATTATATTTTAGTTCGCAGTAACTCGAAAACTCGTCAATCATAATATTATGTGCAATGTAAATGTAACAAAAGGATTTCAAATTTAAAATCCGCCAGCTGGTCGGAAAATAGAAGCGAAAATTGTCACATGTGCGGCCGTCGTGGGCTGTCATGCGGCAGAACAACCAGTTTATCTAAACTAGAATGCGGCAATATTTAATTTAAATAATCGTATTCGGGAATATTTTAAAACGTACAAGTTTTCGTCCCTCGATTTATAGCTTAGAAATTTTGAATTATTGGCGCGCATTATTCAGTAACGACGTTCAGTTTTGGAAATCAGTTTTTAGATGCCTTGCACCAGCCGTGGTCACGGGGAGACACGGGGAAAGTGTTTTATTTAAAGTGAGTTACTTGTCTATAGTTTACGCGAGTAGTACACATTTAAATAAAACACTTTAACGGCTTAAAACGCGATATATTAGTTAACTAATATATCGCGTAATACTAATTTAACTAATATATCGTGTTTTAAACCGTTAAAGTGTTTTATTTAAATGTGTACTAGGTTACTAGGTTAAGTAACTAGATTAGTAAAGTAATTTTAACGAACAAACTGCAAACTCATTATTTAAAAAGTTATTCAGGCTTCCCTTAGAATACAAATAGTTTTAGTCAATTTCTATCTATTTTAAACACTTGAAAGGCAGCTTCTTAACTAAATAAATTTTTAAGTTTTGATTGAAAGAGACTTAAGAATCATTTAAATAAAACACTTTAACGGTTTAAAAGCGATATATTATTAAACTTATTTGAAAATATTTTTAATGGCCCGTTCGATTTTGAAGACTCCCGTACCACAACACACAATAAGTTTAACTAATAAGCGTTTTAAACCGTTAAAGTGTTTTATTTAAATGTGTACTACTCGCGTAAACTATAGACAGTATTTGACTTAAGAATCACTTGGAAGATTTTGATAGATAGATTCTCCTTCTACTATTCACGGTTAATGATAAATAAATAATGGTAAATGCGGTGTCCAAGTCCAAGGGTCGACTCCCGGGAAAGAATAAATATTAATTTTAGTAAGGCAACCTACAAAAGTCTGATTAAGAATTTAAGCTTTCACTTGCAATATATCACGGCGTGGACACGGTCATGTATACACATGATTTGATATAATTTAAATAAAACACTTAAAAGATACGGTTTAAAACGCGAAATATATTAGATAACTTATTTATATTTGTCTTAACTATAGCTATATATATTTATTATTGTTATTTTATTATATTTTTAGGGTGGGTACATAATCTTTTAGCCAGCTTTACTATGTAAACCTAGGTATTTAATTATTTTGTAATCAAAATGAAATTTTCGAAAGATTTCATTTTGATTACAAAATTCAATATGTAGACTAACTCGTATTCAAGTCCAAGAGACGCGCAAATAAGAATTAGATAAAATATAGAAATAAAAAAGTTCCGCGATTTGATTTTTAGGGTTTTTATTAAGGAAATTGTAAATGGACGAAATTGGAGAAAGTCTTCGGTAAATATGAAGGGAGGTGGACGCGTAATTGGAATCCTTTCAGAGAAATTGTTTAGAGAGCATTGCAAGTGTATTGGGCCGTCGCGGTTCGAGGATTGGCCGCAGTCCAGCGGACGCTGCTGAAAAGAGACAAATTGTGTACTTTGTAATATTACTTATTCGTTACGTGTACTATGCGATACGTATTAAAGTCTCATTGGCCGGGTGATTGGTACTCTATGGAGTACTGGATCCGAACTCCGAGTCGGGTAGAGTGTTATTTCGATATTTGCAATTTTATAGTGACATTAATTTAAAACAATATTAGACTGGAAAATTTTTCTGAGAAATTATATGTGCCTTCATGTGCAATAACATGTGAAAAATATTGTTTTTTATGTGACATTTTCAATATTAGCTGGTTTTCTGAGAAGTGTATTTGTAGTGTAGGTAGTTTTCTTTGTAATTCTTTCACAAAAGATAAATGTCTTAAACCCTAAAATTAATATTTAAGGGTAATTATTTCCCATACAAAAACATTTTTGATAATTATATTAAACTGACAGAAATGCGATGTGTATATAAATATACATCGCATTTCTGATGTATATTGAAATAATATAAGACTATTAATGTTAAGTAAATAAGCAAGCCCTATAATTAAGGTTGAATACTTAAATAGGCAAACCTCAACATTATCCGCCGAGTTTAGGCGATAATAAATAATCGAAACAGCTGCCACACTAGTGAGCTATAGGTACAGAAGTTTCCTCTTTAAACGGGGCCAAAAGTAATTTAACTTGATAAAAGTACTATTTGCTAAACTCGTGTGTTTTACCGTGGCCCGCGCCGCTAATAAAACATTCAGTTATTCGCGCTGTAGTTTCACAGCCTGATATCATTACGGGCTATTTCACAAATTAGAAAACTTTTAAACGACTCATATATTTTAGGGACAACTTATAAAAGGCAGAGACCACAATAAGCGGACGGTTTTTTCCCTTGAGTTTCATTAAACATTCATTAGAAGTTTTCGCGGAAAATGACTACATCAACAAATCTCTCTGCGAAGTAATAATAAGATTAAGGTAGATAACGTTTCCTGTACTAAGTACTGCCTATAGTTTATGTGCGTAGTACATGTTTAAATAAAACCGTTTTGACGTTTTAAAACGAGAATGGATTAGTTGATTTATTAACAATTTATGTAATTTTGAATTTAGAACTGTCGGGCCGTTGTTAAAATAAATTGTAAATAACAAGATTTAAATCGTCAATAGTGTTTTGTTTAAATGTTTCCTGTTTCAATATATAGTACTTTGAATATAGCTTGGGAAAATTGTTCAATAAAAATCGGATATGTTGGGTAAATGATTACGACAACACATCCCTTTTAAAGAGGAAATCCAGTTTCTGTCAAATGAATATATATTTTCTGAAAACACTAATGAAACCAAACCAACGACTCAGAGTGGAAAATATATAATATCCCGCAAAAGTCGTTAAATAAATTACGACTTTATAAGTCAGAATAGCCCCCTAATTTACTCTTCAACGAAAAACTATAAAATGTCTCAAATGAAATAGTCACTGTACTCGTACAGTCGTTTCATATAACGAACGATACACTATGAAGAATTATTACATATTGAAAACATTTTGTAAAAGAATCTTCTTCGTCGGTTCAGGGAATTTTTGGTACGAAAATGGCGAGATAGGCGACGACTCCGGTATACGTTACAGAGCGTTCACCTCGATTTTATTCTTTGCGTATTGTTTTATGACTCTGCTGGAAATTATGGCAGCACTGATAGGTGACTTTCCGGAAGATGAGACTCGCGATTCGATTACGTTCTCAGTAAGCCATACGATCGTGATGATAAAATTTTTCTCGATTATTTCCAATAAAAGACCGATTAAGAAATTGATGTACGATATGGTACGCGTTTGCGAGTTGTACGAGAAAGATTGTTTGATGAAGGAAAAGTACAGAATTATTAAGATTAATGTTTTAGCGTACTTCGTTATTGTTTACGGTTCAGTCGCTTGTTTTGTGATGGAAGGTCTGAGAAAAGTATACTCTGGTTAGTACATGAAGGTAACGTTTAATATTATTTCTTGTTTTATTGAATTATACATGTTCTTGACTGATTGAAAAGATACTACATAAGATCTTCGCGTTTGCGTAATTTTCGAATCAAAGAAACAATTGAAAAGAGAAGTCTGCATATGTTGGGCAGAGACGATCGCGATTGTGTCTAGTATCTACTGATAAACTCTATGCCTCCTGGAATCAGTGATTCAGGTTGATTTGTACCCAGGAAGCACAGACTTCAATCTACAGGCAAGTAGTTGATCAGGTTTTAAGTCCACCAAAAGAGCATTTAGTTAGCTAGGGAAATGGTAAATTAATCAATTAAATATGTATAAGCTATATATTATCCAGCGCGTGAGAGGACTAAGCTTCGTCCCTATTTTTCAGGTTCTCATTTCGTGACGATAATAACTTATTACCCAAGTTTTAGCAACGATACCATATTAGCAACAATTATAAGAGTTATCTGTACCATGATTCTATTTCTGATGATGCTCAGCATGATTATAACCGTGGACGCGTTCACGATGGTTACCTTGATTATCTTTAAATACAAGTTCGTTACGTTGAAAAATTATTTCGAAGATTTGAAAGAGGACGTCGAGAGGATCTGTGCAATAGGCAATTCAGAAATGGCGGCCGAGAAGCTTGCAATTGGACTTTTAGAGGGCGTTGTTATGCATAAGGAACTTCTTAGGTAAGCATTTTAATGTCATTTAAAAATATGTTACTAGCGACCCGCCCCGGATTCGCTCGGGTGCAATGCTGATATTAAATTTACTATAGAAAAACTGTGAACGTTGTGTATAAAAAGCTTCCTCTTGAATCACTCTATCCACTTAAAAACCTGCATCAAAATCGGTTGCGTAGTTTCAAAGATTTAAGCGCACATAGGGACAGAACAGGCGACTTTGTTTCAGACTATGTGTTTACAAGAGTATGTGATTTTGCCCAATCTGGTATAATTTAAGTTTAATACATTTCAATAAAATTAGTTAAAATCATTTTCACTAATATGTATCGCGTTTTAAACCATTAAAGTGTTTTATTTAAATAATTCATATTTTCAACGCTCTCGAAGCTTAAAAAATTCGCCTTCAACCTAGTAATATCCAACTACTGTATAATGGGTAAATACTGGGTAATGGAGCGTAGAATTAACTTAGACACACCATGCTACGTAATTCTTAGAAACAAAAAATAATTAAAGTGTGTTTAAGTCAAATGTACACATTGCTAGACAAAAAAAACTCGTATGCTCTAATTAAATATGATTTGCAGGTTATCAAAAGAAATAGACAAGGCCTTCGGTACCGTAATGGCTTGTCAGTTGTGCCAGAGTTCTGGATCAGCTGTCTCTCTTCTGTTGCAAATAGCGGTAATAGATAAAAATACACAGAGAGTCGTACGACAAATATTTCGCATTTTTAATTATTCTTTCGCTGATGATTTCCAAATATGCACGTGAATTTGACATCTAATAAAAGTACTCTTGTCTAAGTGAAAACAAAAAATTATCGAAAGTAAATAAAATGAAAAATACTACTAAATAAAAAAAAATACACCGAACGTTTTAATTTTTTAATTATATAAGTTATTTTATCTCTCATAGTAAAATTCACCCTTTTATCACGCGCTCTCATAAATAATAATATATTTTAATAGCTTTCAGAAAACCTAACGCTTGTTGCCACTTTGAAAATCATCTCCTTCGTTGCAGCTTTGTTCTTTCTACTCGGTCTGTTTTTATGTAACGCTGGCGAAATTACATATCAGGTAAGCAATTCTTCATTTCATCATATTAACGTTCTCTTGCTAGGCATATATGTCTCTTCTCTCGTAAGAGAATCGCTTTAAGAACTTGGAGCAACACACTGTGCGACGTGGGTGGGATTTAAGAACTACCAGCATATATCTTAGATAATTAGAGACCAATGGCTTACTAGCCCTCCGAGGTTATAAAACTACTTTTACATTCCGTGCTGTTACTAGAGAGAAATTACGACTACTAAACTAACAATTAGCCGAACCCAGGAGTCGAATCTGGTTGCTCGCGATATGCTGTCGAGGACAAACAAGGCATTCCGATAGAGATTAGCTATTAAAAAATAGCCACAAATACAATATAAGTACATTCTAGAAGTACCATATGCTTCAGTTTTCCTACATATGTTAAACTTTACGATATTTCAGGCATCATTGTTATCAGATTCAATATTCTATTGTGGCTGGCACATGTGCCCTACCAGATCTCGAGGTCGTAATCTTCGCAAAATAGTCTCCATAGCGTGCGTCCAGGCCCAACGTCCTCTCGTGATGAAGGCGTTTAAAATGCTGAAGCTAACATATGCTACTTTCCTTCAGGTAATTTACTTCGTGTTTGTGCATATTGTTAGCAAGACGATGTTTGGAACAGGATTTGTGTTGTATACTCCCTATTTAGTTTATATGTAAAGTGTACTTATAGTAATAGTAACTTTATTATTCGGACAACGTGTGTACTAACACTAAGCACTTGTAATGAGACATAAGACAATTAATATTATATTAATAATCAGCTACGCCGCGACTTCGTCCGCGTAGCAGAGTTATTTCGGGCATCAAAAATTGGTTTGTAAACCTCAACTCTGTAAATTACCAAGTTAACTAATCTGTTAAGCGTTACCCACGAGTTCGGTCGCGTTTTTGAATTCGAATTAGTAGTTCCTGAGATTAGCGCGTTCAAACAAACAAACTCTTCTACTTTACAATATTAGTATAGATAACTATACATTTTTTGTCTTTATTCTTAACATAAGACAAATCGAAGGCAATGTTATGTTTAGAAAATAACATACATATTTTATTTGCAGGTCATCAGAGGAACATACTCGGTGTTCGCATTATTTTACGCACAAAATAAATAACATATCATTACTATGATATATACTATGAATAAGTTCAAGTATCTTATCTTATCCTTGATAAAGACCAGAATATTTGAACCTTCTGCCTATTTCCTGTTTCCATATAAACATTTTTAATTAAAGGACTGGGGTTATCAAAACGTTTAATAGTTAATTATGAAATAAAAAATGTTTTCTATTCTTTGTATATCGCAGCGCTTAGCTTTACTTTAGTAAGTTAAGGAATTATAACAAGGATAAATTAATAGAGTACAGTTGACATTACCTTTTTATAAAGAAGCTAATGTCAAATGTGGTCTAGTACAAATTTAGATAAAATACTTCTACACCGTTTGAAACCGTTATAAGTGTTTAATTCAAATACTTTTATTTCACAGTAATGTTATAGTCGACTTATTTCGGATAGGAAGTGGTATCCCTCCGTATCAATTCCCTGAATTAATTTTGCGCTGCGATTGAATACCCTTTGAATTGTAAACTGTATGGGCTTATCGATAACATCAAGGAGTAACCAAGAAACACGAGTCACGCACGGATATCGAATAAAATATCTATATCATAATAAAGGAATGAAAATTGTTTGTCCGTATGTTTAATAAAACATCTATGAGTATTAAAGGAACAGTAATTTTATAGAAAAATTATAAATCTTTTTTTCCTGAAACTATAAATTTGCCTGTCTGTATGTTACAGTGATTAGCGTATGCATACATCAAGCCTGTAAAGTAGGCTTTGTTTTCTTTATATCAGACACAATTAAAAAATAAGCAATTAGAATGTTTTCTATTTTTAACAACGTAAAAACTATAATAATCTAGCAGTATTAAGAGAGTTTAAAATAGTAAAAGGTATTTTTGGTAATTAAGTTAAATGCAGAGTTCAGTCCAATCTTCGCAAACAAAGTCGCGGGCGCAAGCTATTATCGAATAAAACAAGATTAGCGATACTGATATACGATCGAAGCTCATGTATGCAAATCCTGAATACACAACTTATGCTTTGCGTGCTTGATAACAAGGATGTTTTACGATCACATACATACATAATTACTTAGATCAATTTAGCAATAACTCCAAATTATTCGACGGAACAAGCGGCATAATAAAGACTGCATATTCAAAGAATTACATTCTATTACGATTATGATTATTTATAACTATTTAATACTGTCTATAGTTTACGCGAGTAGTACACATTTAAAAAAGCACTAGATATTAGTAACTTATTTAAAATGAATCATAAATTCCTAGACCTTAAGCAAAGTTTCGATCTTTGCCGCGGTCGGGGTCACGGGGACCCCGTAACTAATATATCGCGTTTTACCTAAAGGAAACCTTATGAAACATTGCTACGAATGTTTTTCTTTTAAAACCGTTTGGGTTTCCCAAAAAAACCTCCAATTTTTTAGGCCCCCCCTAACGCGGGGCGGGAGTCTAAAACATATAATATTTATATATTGTGCGAGTATATTATGTATAAACTAAATCATAAATTACAAAGACTTGGAGAAAAGCGACACGAAAACCTTTGGGTTTTAGAAGGAGTCGGCTCGACTGTGGATGGCTAAATAATCAAATAAAAAATGTAACAGTAGTATAATTTAAGAGTTCTTCTTCTTCTATCTGCAAGGAAGTAGGCTGTTCCTTCTGTTTCGGAAGCTATGTCTTACAGATAAGAATAGATATTACCAGGTTTAACTGTACGATGCAAGCATTGATAAAAGCAAACCTTCAAATTATATATAACAAGACTGTGTCCGCAACTTCGTCGTCTTCATGAAAATTTGTTTTTGCAAATAAATAATTTTCCCGTTTTTTGCCATTATTTATTTGCTTCAATTGGTTGCAGCGTGATGTTTTATAACCGAAAGCGTTTCTCAATAAATGATCAATCCAACACAAAAATAAGTTTTCGAACTAGTTGTTGAAACTAGCAAATTAAAGAAAACAAACACAAAATTTATGATACTAGTTAATATTATATATATGGTATATTAATAGGATCATTTGTTCTAAAGATATAAATATTTTAAACCGCTTTTATACTTTATAATATAATCTACGACTAGCTGCTGGAAAGCATGCAAAGTTTTGAATTGAATCTGATTAAGAAGTTTGAATTAATATATCACTTGTGTTAATTACAAATAAACAGATTATATATATACTAGATATACACTAGATATCGGATACTGAATAGAGATATGGTGCTAATATTAACATTAAAAAATCTGGAATGCTATTAAGGAACTCTGTAAGCCAAGGTTCCGCCCAGATTCAGAATCTTCGTGACGAGAATAAAAACTTTCGCTGCCATAAAAGTATATGAGTTCGTCCCAATACTGCGTCGATGACTTCCAATTTCTCCGTAGCGTGTCCCGACCCGACCCCGAAGATTACTTTTTCTCCCTTATCCACTGAATTGAATTAAAATGAGAAGCAAACGTATAAAGAAAAGGGTACACGTCAATTTTCACAAGAGTTTCGCGATTAACGTGCCTTTTTGCGTAATAACCATATCATTTTTCCTTTGTTTTCCCTTATTTACCCAAATGTAGAATTCCTAATTTACAAATATACATTTTTAAAAGTGTATAAGCATACAAATGGTTAAGTGTATTGAGACGAGGAAAATAATGCAAAATTACAGGTCGGAGAATTATTATTTGAATACTTACGTACTTACTTAATACAGCAGTCTCCCCGTGACCACGGCTGCTGCAAAGCATCCGAAACGTCGGGCCGAAGTTAAAAATCATTTTCAAATAAGTTTAACTAATATATCGCGTTTTAAACCGTTAAAGTGTTTTATTTAAATGTGTACTACTTGCGTAAACTATAGACAGTATTTACTTAGTAAATTGCCGCCATACTGGCGGAATTAAGCATAGTTTACTCTGTGGTATGTCACGGTTAAGTGGCAATCTGTCAATTTTGATGCGTTTTTTTAAATATATTATATTATATTATATTATATTGTGTTTCAAGAAGATGGTTTTTATATACAACGTTCACAGTTTTTCTGTAGTGTATTTAGTGTCAGCATTGCACTCGAGCGAAGCCGGGGCGAGTCGCTAGTTATTCATAAACTATATCATCTGAGGTTTTATTTAATTACTTTTTAAAATTAATATACACCAATAAGGAAGAATAAGAACTTCTACACCAGAAAAAGTCAATGACTTAATATAAGGCCAAAGCGGCGTTGAATTTAATGCAGGTTATTCTGATAGAAGTTTTCCTTTTACGACAAAGTTTTATAGCGTGGATTCGGCACTGGCCCACTATATCATCTTAAATAGAAACGTTTTCTATAAATCACCGAATAGACTTGTCAGTTCTACATTTACGTGGATGCAGAAAGTTTAGTTAAGTGAATAAATATTACAATTCCCGCACTATCAAGATAGGCGGGTAGGAATTGTAAATTTATTAATGGTGGAAGTAAAAAGAACCTTTACACTTTTATGAATGAATTATGTGCGACCCTTCTTAGGAAAATAATATAAAACAACTTAAACTAGGGGAATTCGCAGGAAGTGCAAAACTTAAAATCTAAATGATTTAACGTAAAGGAATACATACACTTAGTATACGTATTACTTAGTTTGAGAGTTGTAAAGCGTAAAATATTTCACAAATTCTCGTGATAGATAAAATAGCGAATTGATTTATGATATCTCCTCTAGGATATTGTAAGTCCATAATTATTTTTAGCACTTAGTAATACTTTACTGGAGGTCAACGATAAACTTTTAATATTTATTTGTTTACCATCTTTGGTTGAAAGCCATGGATGTTTAAAGACCTCCAAAACATAATAGTTAAACACGTTTGTATTATAAATATAATAGTTTTGATGAATCTACTTGATCGGTACTTAAATGAAATTGACCATTCAAGCCAATACTTTATAGGCAGAGGCCAAGGCAGATTTTATAGTAAATAATGTTTTTAAGAAAGCACCAATAATATGAATCTAATTTACTTAAGCATTTACATTCGTCATTTTCGTTGAATTATATTATTACGATTTTAGTCTAGCTATAAATACGGTAATTAAGACGAGAAGTTTGAGGACATGCAAGGCAAGATTGACACTTGAGGTAAGTTCAAACAGGGACGTTAAATTTTAATGAACCAAACCTATGAAGTACCTATATGTAGGGAAATCTTTTATATGTGGTATATACGTTGACTGATGGTGAAGGGATGACGGATTATTACATAATTGAATTCCAGACGTATAGTGGCAAGAATTAAGATGGATAGTCCTAGAATACTTTTTTATGATAGACGAGGACTGTCAAGCATGGGGTTTACCTGATGGAAGGTGAAATACCCCAGCCATATAACACCTTACCAAGATGGGCTGTCGACCTATTTTGGCTTTTAATATTCGGAAATCAACAGATTGAACCCGAAACGCGATTAAACCTCACGGCTTCTTCAACTTAGGACGGTGTTTCGTGACCCGGTCGAAATTTCGATATTTCTACCACCGAGATTTCAAGAACAAACCCAATATGTTTCAGAAAAATTATAACTTGATTAGAAACATGTTGGACACAGTAGGGATCGAACCCAAGACCCGTTCAGCTATGCACTGCTACCAAAACTAAGGTACTTCGCTGCGTATTTATTATTTAACAAAAATTCTGACGTTGTGACGTACTTTCCACCTCCTTTGAAGTACTTTTGACCGCCTCTGTAGCTAAATGGACAATCGCGCTATAACTACTTTAAGCATGAGAGGTACTGGGTTCGAATCCTGGAGAAACAATAGTTTGGTCGGGCAAAGTACTAGAGTCAGATCAGCTAACCGACACAGAAATGTGTTCGCCCCATGCGCCACGGGGGAAACGGCCTTTCACTTAAGGAGTATTTCTAGCTTTAATTAAACTCGATCTTTGATCTCGTAGTCGGTAAGAGTGTATTAACCCATAGGCAGTGTCTTTTAGATACTCTATAAAAATATTATAATGGAGTAATCCTCAGGAT